TTCACGTATTCATTTACAGTATTTATCCCGTGCCTGCCGCAGGCTGGGCCCCTGCACGGTGGGGAGACAGAGGCGAGGAGACAGATATAGTTCCCGCCCCAGGAGGCTCCCACTGAGCTGGGAGCTGGGGGAGAGGCGATTCTAGAGGCTGGAGAGGGAGAGGTGATTCTAGAGGCTGGAGAGGGAGAGGCGATTCTAGAGGCTGGAGAGGGAGAGGAGCTTTAGACCAACTTCCCCATCAGGTTCCAGCCACCTGGGTAGGACTCGGTGTCTGTCCCCACAGCTCTCTGCTCAGTCACTGTCTCAGTGTCCCTGGGCTACCTCCCCTGCCCCCACACCTGCTGGGTACCACCTGTGCCAGGCCCCCTGCTGGAGCCACTGGGGGGAGCGCCGCTCATGGGCCCACCCGGCCCCAGGCCCAAGCCCAAGCCACAAGCCTGTGGACACCTACTCAGCCCGCTGGCGCTGGGAGAGCCTTGCCCTCCAGAGCAGCAGCACCCCGTGGAGGGCCCGTCTTGGGCAGGCTTTCTGCGGGGAGCCCTGGCCTCGCTCCTGGGGCAGCCCCTGGGCCTGGGCCACCCACCTCAGGCCTCCAGGGGCTGAGCTGCCCAGGTCCATGTTCCCTGAGAAGCAGTCAAGAGACACATCAGCCATGTCCCCCGTGACCTCCCTCTGCCCAAAGTCATTGATGGCTGCTGCCTCAGGCCCTCCCCTAAGACCTCTCCACTCATAGGGCACTTCACCCTCCCACACCCCAAACCCTCCCCTCCAGGCACCTCAAAGATCCCATCTGTCCTGGCCGGGCTTTGGTGGGGACAGAGGCCGTGCCCTCCACTCACCACAGGCGCTTCCCGGGAGCAGGGGCCACATCCCTTCCTGGTGGAAGATGAACCAAGTCTCTGGCTTAGAGGAGCTCACGATGGGAACAAGGTCCCGCTAGGGCGCGCCCACTCCCGGGACCCCTCCTGGACCCTCCCAGGCCCACCAGGCTGCACCCTGAGGAAGGTCCCAGTTCCATCACCTCCCATTTCAACAATCCACAATTCACCTCGGCCCCCTGCAGCAGGACCTTAAGAGACTGGGGTGGAGGGAAGAGGAGCCCTCAGCCTCCTCGCTCACCCACCTTCTGCCGGCAGAGGGACAGCTGGGTCACCTTCGCCCCATCCGAAGCCCGGAGCTGCTTCATCCACACCCACTGTTTCAGGCACATCCTCAGGGTTCCCATCTGGCGGTCAGCCAGGTGCTCCCGGGGCTGGGCCCCTCTTTTCACCGACCGCCGCCAGGCCCTGAAGCACCTGGGAGAGCCAAGAGGAAGTGCAGGCACTGGTTGCAGGTGCAGGTGCTACAGCCTCCTGTCAAGCGCCAGACTCACTACTTCCCCTCTCGGGGCCTCAGCTCTCTCATCTGTAAAATGGGGCTGCAGGAAGGACCTGACACCATCACCTCCACGTGCCTGGGTGGCCTCCGCAGCCTCCTACCTGGCTGCCCTCATCCACTCTTGGCCCCTCCAGTCAGTTCCTACTCAGTAACCGAGTGATTTTTAAAACAAATCTCAAATCAAATCATTGTATTCCCCTGCTGAAATCCTCCAGTGGCAGCCCCTTGCTTGTATGATAAAATGTCAACCCCTCCCCAAGCCTGCAAGGTGCTCCCCACACCTTTCCAACTTCATCTCAGCTGCAACTTGTCTGCTGTTCTTGGAGTTTTCTGTGCTTTGCTGTCACAGGGCCTTTGCACAGGCGGTTCCCTCTGCCTGGCGCTCTCACCGGCTCTCCCTCCGCTAGTCAACCATTCATCCTTCACACCTCCGCTCAACCCTGGTCGAGGTCAGCACCCTCAGTTTAAATGTTCTCACAGGAAAAACTCTCAGGGGGATGCAACCAGCAAAATGCAGACAGCGGGCAGCTATAGGGTTTCTTCAGCAGGCAAATTGCAAGGAAAAAGAGTTCAGAGGGCCCACAGCTCACAAAGACTTGAATGACTTCTCGACCAATTCCAACATGTGGACCTAATTTAGATCCCGATTCAAATAAACTGGAACAAGATGGATGCTTGTAAGACAACTGAAAATCCGAATGCTGAGCAGATCCTTGCTGGGATTAAGGAATCACTGTTCGTTTTCCAGGTGTGAGCATGGCCTTGTGGTCAGGTTGTGTACTAGAGTCCTTATCTTTCAGAGATGCTACGGAAATAGCTATGGGTGGATGGTGTGAGGCTTGGGGTTTGCGTCACGGTAACGTGGAGGGGGAGTAATCGGAGTGCACCCGAAAGGAGCTTTCTCAGGAGGTGACTTCCTTGAAGCTGGGTGATACACAGGTGTACTATACCATTTTCTTTAGTTTTGTGTAAGACAAAATGTTCCGTAATTTAAACGTTAACAACAAGGAAGAAAACTCATAGATCCATGTTTCTTCCCTTCACAACACTACACTCAGGGGGTGTTCGCACACCCGCCCCCCTTGTGACCGCTAATTTCCTGTCTGTCCCCACCTGGCCAGGGTTCCACGTGGGACAGGTGCCCACTGGCACTCAGCTTTACTTGTAACTGCCTTCACAACACTACACTCAGGGGGTGTTCGCACACCCTACTTGTGACCACTAATTTCCTGTCTGTCCCCACCTGGCCAGGGGTTCCACATGGGACAGGTGACGACTGGCACTCAGCTTTACTTGTAACTAACCCCCAGCTCCTGGGTGGTTTCTAGCAGGTCTCAGGCTCTCCGTAAACCGTAAACCGCAGCTGTTTTCATTTCTCTTTCATCTTTGTCTCTCAAGACAAGGAGGAGTCAACGTCTGCCTCAGGGAAGGCGATCCCCCTCCCACCCCTCCCCCTTCTGCCTACCTGCAGAGCCAGGCTCTCTGATGCTGGGGGGCCAGGGGGGGCACCCAGGCTGTATCTGCGGCAGGAGGGCCCCAGGCCTGGGAGGGCCTCCCCATGCTCTGAGTCCTCAGCGTGGCCCCGGAGGCCTCTCCCTGGACCCCCTTCTCCTGCCTGGCCCATTCCTCCTGCTGGCACCGCAGGAGGAAGACTGTAAAGGGAGGGGTGAGAGAGGGAGTGAGCAGAGGGGAGGACACCTGGGACACCTCCTCATCTCTGGGCTTGTTTCCCTGTGAGTGAATGATGTCTAAGGTCTAACACTCAAGCTTCTGCTGGGCCTGTGCCAGCGTCAGAGGCACACCAATATAAACTGTGTGTCTTCGAGCTAGTCCCTTAATTACTCTGTGCCTCAGTCTTCCCATCAGTGAAATGGGCACAACACCTTGCCGAGGTCACCGTGAGGCTCAAATGAGATCGTGTCTGGGAAGTTGCCAGCGTAGGTGCTCAATGAACACTCATCCACTCAGGACCCCCTGCCCTCCCCTGCCCTGTGTGGGGACTCAGCCCTGCCCAGCTCCATCTGCCCTGCTTTCCCGGGGCCCCACATCTCACCAGCCATCCGTCGCAGGGCCTGCAGGATCTGGACCCTCCCATCTCCTCCATCTGGTCTCGGCCCAGAACGTGATGGAATTGGCCGGGCTCCTGCCTCCTCCCTCAGGCTCTCTGGGCTGAGAGTGAAGTTGCCCAGAGAGAACCTGATGCCCAGGGCCCAGGGAAGGCACACGATCCAACTGTCCACCCCAGCCCGGGGCGGATCCTGCCCGCCCGCAGGAGCACGGGGCGCTGAGCCACCTGCTGTTCTCTTCCAGGCAGTGCACTTATCCCTGATCACACAAGGGATCTGGGGAGGGGGTTCTGCTTTTGCTTCACTCTCTTCAATACTATTTGGATTTTTCACAACAAACATGTATTCAATGGATATTATTTAAATTATTTTAAACCCATTTTTAAAATTAAAAATAAGAACAAAAACAATACATCACAGTAGTGAAAAATTGAGGAAATGCAGAAAAAAAAATAGCCAACTTAATCCCTCTATTGCAGAGATAAGCACTATTTGCATTTTATCTTTTTGGAGGTTGGGGTCACCATCTTAATCATTTTTTTGTTGTTGTTGATCCTCACCCAAGGATATTTTTCCATTGATTTTTAGAGAGTGGAAGGGATGGGGAGAGACAAAGAGAGAGAAACATAGATGTGAGAGAGACATGTCAATTGGTTGCCTCCCACATGTGCTCTGAGGGACCATGGAGGAGCCTGCAACTGAGGTAGGTACCCTTGCCCGGAATTGAACCCTGGATCTTTCAGTCCTTGAGCTGACGCTCTATCCACTGAGCCAAATCGGCTAGGGCCATCTTAACCATTTTTAAGTGGACAGTTCAGTAGTGTTAAGTCCATTTGCATTATTGTGCAACATTTTAGTCTTTTTCCTTCTGGTCTTTTTTTGTGCCCTGTTTTAGGTGCATAGAAAAATATCTTAGCCAGCACCGGTTTGGCTCAGTGGATAGAGCGTTGGCCTGCGGACCGAAGGGTCCCGGGTTCAATTCCGGTCAAGGGCATGTACCTTGGTTTCGGGCACATCCCCAGTGGGGGGTGTGCAGGAGGCAGCTGATCGATGTTTCTCTCTCATCGATGTTTCTAACTCTCTACTCCTCTCCCTTCCTCTCTGTAAAAAATCAATAAAATGTATTTTTAAAAAATATCTTAGATACTATTTATTCATTTTTCTTTTTCATTTAACATTGTCATAACTATTTTTCCTTGTCATCAAAAATTCTACACACATGTCCATAAAAATACTTCCAGGAATGGGGACCCGTGGGGAGGGGGATGAAATTTCCAACTATATTGGATGTGTTTTCAAATCAAGCATGCATGACTGTCATGATCAGAAATAAAAATGAAAAGTATTGAAAAGAAAAATAAAGGAAAAGAGAGTGGGGAGAAAAACTTTAAATCTTCATAAACACCATGCGGAATGGTTGCCAAATAGTCATCACGTAGTTAAATGGGAATTTTCTCACTCACTGGGCATTGAGGCTGTGTCAACGCTTTTACAAGGATAAATAATGCTGTGATGGACATCTTTCTGCACAAACCTGTGTCCACGTCTGCTGGTTGCATCCTCCTTCTCTTGTTGGGGAGAGGGACGGGGGACGAGGAGGGAGGCTGCCAGCACTGCCCAGCCACACTGACCAACCCGGGGTGTCCCCACCTACCTGCTTCTCTGGGCGGGGTCCACCCCTGGCTTCCTTCCTGAGGGACCTGGGGGCTGGCCTCCCCCAGAGGGTGGGGGTCCTGGGCCAGCCTGGAAGTGGGGCTGCCCTTGTTTCTGCTGCTGAGCCAGGTTTCTCCACTGGATCAGGAGGGAAGGGAAGAGGGACGTTGGCTGCAGCCTCCAATGTGCCCTGAGAGGGAGCACCAGGGAGGCGCAGGGACAGGGGCCAAATACTTCTCTCAGACTCCAAAGCCTATGGTCTCAACCACTAGACAACCCTGCCTCCTTGGAAATGCACGAGTGAATGGAGAGAGAGCAGCCCAGAGGCAGGGAGACCGAACTTGGAGCTGGGTCCTCCCAGAGCACCCCCTTTCCCAAGGAGGGAAGAGCACAGACGAGCCCTCCCAGTCCTGGCCTGCAACCCCCTCGTGGAAAACAGCAACTCTTACAGTACGTGGCAGAGTGCGAGCTATGTGCCGGGCATGTGCTGAGTCCTTTTATTCATTTAACCTCACCACAACCCTGAGGAGTATGTTCAATGATTATCCCATTTTAGAGATACAAGACCAAGGCACAGAGAGGTTAGGTAACTTGCCCACAGTCGCACAGCCAGAAAGTGTGAAAGAAAGAAAGATAGCAGCGGAGGCAGGATATGAGCTGAGGCAGAGCTGGTTCAGGTGTGGGCGTGCTCTCCTGGGGGTCACTCAGAAGGTAGAACCCGAACCCCAGAGGAACCTCCTCCCGAGCACACCAGTATTTCATCCCCTCCCCTCCACCCAACCTGGAGGTCCCTGACCTTTTGGAAGCTCTGGGCCAGAAGGGCCTTCCTGTGTCGGCCGCACGCCACCTCCAGGTGGGCCTCCTGGAGCCGCAGACCCCTGTGCCGCAGCCGCCCGTGGCCCAGGGCCACTGCCTGCCGCCTCCACACCAGGTGCTGCCACGCCCTGAAACATCTGGACAGCAGCTGCCAGCTGGGGATGGACGGGGCTGGTCAGGGGGTGGGCCTGCCCCTCAGCCCAGGGTGCAGCAGAAAGGGCTTCCCTCTATTGATGGCTTGGAAATCTCAGATGAGAAAGCTCTGGAGGCGGGAGAATGCCCAGCAGCGACAAGTCCCAGGAGCTGCTGTCCGTCCCTTCCCTGGGGGCCCGGAGGCCCCTGTCATCCCCAGTAGGGACAGCGTGGAAGTCCCTCCCCCTCAAGTCCCGTGTGGCTCCGCCATCAGGGCCAATCTCTATGAGGCAAAAGGGAGGGGAGCTGTCCAGCCCCAGCTGTGGCCTCACCGGGCCCTCTCGGACTCCAGGTTCACAAGATTTCCGGCTTTGTTCTTGGAAAACAAAAGGACAAGGCAGCCTTCAGGCCCGCAGCAAGCAGGACGGACACCCCTGCCCAGCCCACACCACGGCCTCCCTTTCTGACGAACCTGGCTGCTTGGAGTGAGAATTCCTGGGGGAGGCAGCAGCCCCCTGGAGCCCCCCAAAATCCTGCTCCCAGACTCCTCTGGCTGCTACAGGCAGGGCACTAGTGGCTGGGCCAAGGCCCGCAGACAGGAAGTGGCCTCCCCCCCTCCCCCCGCACCTGCTCCCTCGGGGCCTTCTCCCCTCCTTCCTGCCCAGGGAGGGCACCCCAGGCTGCCCGGAGAACGTGGGGGAGCACAGTCTGGCCTCTCTGCTGCCCACCTCTTGAGGGAGCAGGGAGTCCCCGGTCTGCCCCCTGCTGTATGCAGGCCTCTTTCCTCGCCTCAGAGGGTAGGCAGGAAGGACCCCCTGCACGGGGTCAGGGAAGCCCCCAGTCAGCACCTCCAAAGCGGTCTTCGGTGGCGACGCGGGCTTGCTGCTTGCCTGGACCCCCGGTGTCTCTGGGAGACTCACGGCTCCCCTGAGACCTCGGGGGTGTTTCTTTCTCTGACCGCAGAACGTGAGAACAGGCTCGGTGCACGGGGGGCCAGCAGGGAGGGCCTGGCCACCACTGGTCCAGGGCTCCTGTGGCGAAGGGCCTGGGGGTTCCTGGGCCCCCCAGCACCTGAGTCGGGCTGCCTCCTGCTCCAGGTGCTGCCCGGAGGCCAGCAGCCAGGAGGTGGCAGCCTGGGGTGGGGCCCGAGCCGGGCTCTTGACAGGGACAGCCAGGTCGTCCAGGGTGAGGGGTTCCCCCATGAGCCTGGAGGGCCAGTCCCCCAGGCCACCCCAGGATCTGGGGCCTGGCTGTGTGTGCCCATCATTGGGGGCATAGCACAGGGTGGGCCTGGAACGTGGGCAGGGCGTGTCTGTGGCCAGAAGCCAGAACGGCTTCAGGGTGGGGGATGGTTGAGCCTGTGGCCCTGGAGTTCGGGGGCTTCCCCGGGGCACCCCGTGAGGCCAGAAGCCTTCCTGAGGCTCTGACCAGGGGTGGGGGCTGCTGCGGCTTCCACACCTGGCCAGGCCGGCCTCCCGTGCGCTCAGGTTACTCTGCTGGACGGTGAACGCTCGCGCCCCCCACAGCGGGAGGACTCCCAGGGGCTGTAGGTTGCTCTGCTGCTGGAATCTCGAGTTGATCAGCCGGCCGGTCGTGTCCTTCAGGGCAAGGCCCAGGCGGGGCCTAGGGCTGGCCAGGTTGGTCTGGACTTGGCAGGGCTCCTGGCGAAGGGCTGCCCTTGGCGAGGGAGTGGTGGCCGGCTCTCCTCTCTGGGCCTGGCCCCTGGGCACCCACGGGCCGTGTCCACTACCCAGGACGACACCCAGGCTCTTTAGGAGTCTCCGTTGCTCTAAAGGGAGTAGAGACAGTCATGCCCTGAGTGGGGCGCTCAGGGTTCGGCTCAGGTGGGACAGGTGGGGCCGGTCAGGCCTCAGAGCCGGGAGGGACAGGGTCCCAGGCAGGAGAGAGCCTGGACGGCAGGGGTCTGTGTCAGCTCTGCAGACAATGGGCAGTGCCTGGGGGTCCTGAGCAAGAACAGTGACATGATCTGGCTGTGCCTGGCTGCTTGGAGCAGGGACGGGGCAGGGTCAGAGGCGAGGAGGGCAGAGGGAGGCTGGGGGACAGGGGGCTGTTGAGGGGGAGACAACCAGGTCTGGGGTGGCAGGGAAGGTGGAGAGAAGACAGATTCAGATCCGCTGTGGAGGCTTAGAGGAGCGAGGCAAAGGGGAGAGTGAAGGACCAATGC